TCTGCAGGATCTTGGAGGCTTCTTTTCTAGGCACACCATGTAGGAGCTTTTGCCTGCATTCCTTGGGTATATCTCGCAGGTTCTCCATTTTACATACCCTGCGGATCGTTTTCCTATCTATTATCGCTTGCATCACAAAGGTTATATCACTACGGTGACCCTAGAAGGCTTATAGGATTTTATCCTGGAGAACAACAACGGTGTCATCCAGGAAAAATTATTACGGGACAGTCAGCAGGTATTTTTCCTGCTAGATCTGGCAGGGTTTTGTCAGTTGAAAAAAAAAGGATTTTTTCCCTATGTCTATCCTGCGGCATTCTGCAGTCTTTTCTCACCAATGTCTGCCCAAGATGACCGTGGAGGAATTTGTCTGTATTTTTATATTTAGAAAGTTAAGAAGTTTTCTATCTTATTTTTATAAAATTATAAAAGCTTTTTCAGTAAACTTCTAGAAAATGCAATACATCTTTTGCTATACATCATTTTTCTCGCAGTAGTGGGATCATTCTAATGACTTTAATTTCTTATTGATGGGAGAAAATAGAATAATCTTGACAAAAAAAGATCTTTTCAACTGTATAGTAATAGTTTGGTTTTGTACACATGAAAATGCTTGTTAAAGTCAAAATGCTAAGGTATACATTTTCAAGAAGTTTATTGGACACGAGACAAGTTTTTATAACTTCACAAGAAGAAGATACAAAAGTACTTAACCTTTCAAAACGAAAAAATACAGACAAGTTCCTTCACGGTCATCCTGGACAGACATTGGTGAGAAAAGATTGCAAGATGCCACAGGGTAGACATGGGGGACAAAATCCGATTTCTTTCAACTTACAAATGCCTGCTATTTTATTTATAACAAATGTAATAACCCATATAGATACACTGTTACACTGCTGAATTTCAATTCCATCGGCGTTTAACGGAAGAGTAATGAATTTAATCATCTCCTGTTTTAAGACTGACTGATAATGTTGTCCGTCTGAGTAATCATGAATGACAGCAGAAGGATGAGTGGCAGATCGAAAGCGAAGTTTTTTCGATCGTTGGAGAATCATTTGTAGTTGCTGATAAATATTATACTCGACCAACGTATGAGTGATTTTATTCTGAAATTGTCCAAGTTCATCACAGTCTGAGTTTGTACATCCTTTTGTTCTAGAGAGACACCCACATGTGGGACAAAACGTGCTACGGATACAGCGTATTTTGAACGATGTTTCGGATTTTGGTTCTAATATTCTCAACAGTGTTGTATATTTCTTTGTAATATTACGAAAACCGAGCAGTTGTAAAATTGTCAGTAATGAATCCATTCCTTTTCGACTAACACCGTATTTTTGTTTGAACATGACTAAAATGTTTGCAATGTGAAATTGCGAATATTTTTCATTAAAGGATTGACTATCACCAACTTGCGATCTAAATAAATTAGGAACAGGGCTACAAGAAGTTGGAAAAGCTCAGTTTACTTGTTTACATACTCCAACTGATCACTTATATCAGCACGTTGTTCATCGGCATCCATCTTGTCTTCGTTTTCAGTATAACTTGACTGATGATCGGCTACTGATCGATTATCTAGAATAAACATGCATCTGTCTAAGATCAAAACCCGATGTTACTTACTCTTGTTCGAAAAAATACCATTTTCTTTCAAGATAAACGTCCTTTTGTTCAAACGAATTAGTTTTTTCTTTGTTTTACTAATATTTTTGTGGAAGGCTAAGTTTTCCGCACATTGTGCTGCCAAAGGAACACGGATGCCGATTAATTTTCTTTGGAGATCACGATAAAATGTTGCCTTTGATAGATACTGACCCCCTGTTTCTTCCCATATTGTACAGTTATCTGAAAAAAATACTAAATGCTACTAAACTAAGCAGTTCCCATATTTAATAGTCCCTGAAATTAGTATAGATTCCAGTAAATCTGACTTTTGTTTATTTGTTTCATTAGAAATGACATACATGACTTTAATACATAATTATGTATTAAAACCTAGCAATTTAAATAAATTAACTTCAAGTAAACTATTTTGTGAAGCATTAAATTTTTCACTATTTGACATTAATAAAATTATTTTAAAGTTTTATACTCAGTGTAAACAATTAACAAAAGAGAGCAGTTTGCACTTGAAAAATTGATATATACGTTTTATTTCATATTCGGATTCTATTATCAAAGCTGAGGTTATGGAAAATAAAAAGAAACTTTCTGACTTATTCTGGCTGCTCATTTGCAATTACAAAATGAGCATCATCGTCGATTGGGAAAAGTAGCCATCTCTGATATTTTGACTACAACCCTGCCATTTTTTATCCGTTCTGTTCGAGCAACATCGCCTTCGAAAGCCTGATAAAAGTAAACAAAATCACATAGTTCCTTATTTTTCTGAAGTAGGAAGTGACTATTTAAAACCCACATCAATTGGCGAATTGGGATTTCGAAGGGTCAAAATTTTCGAGAAAATGCCACTGTCGACCCTCCAAACAGAATTTCCCTAACAATTCGAAGGTCACATGCGATAGAGAATTCAATTTTCCACAAACTGAGCGCAAAAACTTTGTCTTAAAAATGGCGGAAAAGTTCCAAAACTTGAAAACAAGACGGCCGATCAACCGCGAGTTGTCAGTTTTTTGAGACTTTAGTCATCAAAACTTCACTTAAAACAAAAATAAGGTGATATTTGGAATCAGCGACAAAACCTGCGTCAGATGATGTGGCTTTGAAATTTTGTAGAGAAATGAAAAATTTCGACAATTTTTCGATTTTTTATGTTCACCTTCCGAGCAAATTTTGACAAAATGAAATAAAATGTATATGTCAATTTTTCACTCGTGACCGGTCGTTGACAAGATACTCGATCGAAATTTCGACAATTTTTCGATTTTTTATGTTCACCTTCCGAGCAAATTTTGACAAAATGAAATAAAATATATATGTCAATTTTTCACTCGTGACCGGTCGTTGACAAGATACTCGATCGAACGGCGAAGTGTCTGTTAAGTACAAATGATAATCCTAAAGGTTTTATATCACATCTTGTTTGTGATGTTTATAGTGGAAAATGTATGATTTGGAATTATTTTGTTGATAAAGTGGAACAACAGTTAATGCAAAAGATTAAAACTAATTTGATGGAAATTCTAAGCCAAGATAAATATGGAAGAGTATCAAAAAGCAATTTCATAGAATAGTACAATGATGCTTTAATTTGTTATCATCAAAAGTTAGTCATTTTCTTTTACACACATTTACAAAATTTTGGTGATGCTATGTTAAGTTGAACATGTTTGATTTATTTTTAAAGTATGCTGATTCACCGTCACTCACATATGTTATTGTTTTCACGCCTTTAAACAATCATTTAACTTATTCAATTGTCATTTGCCGCACACAGTACAGTTGCGGTGTCATGCACAGTATAATCAAATATTATGCCCGTGTTTCGTTGTTTGTCATCAACTGTACGTGATACTGTGAAGAGAGTTGCTTGCTTTTTGTACTACTGCTTTGATTGAATTTCTCGCTGCACAACGAGAGTAAAATTTTCAGCAAAATTAATCTGGATCAAGGTTGAACTCTTATCATTGTTTTCTCTAAATTGTTGAAATGAATGATCTTTGTTGATTGGTGAGAAAAGTGCCCATTGATTATCTAATACATCAGAAAGATATCCGATACCGCCGACAATATCTTGGAAATCAACTTTTTTCCATATTGTCTATGTCACTTGGCCATTCTCATCACTGTCAAAAGATTTTGAAACTATTTCTGATTGTTTGGTTGATGAATCTTCAATATCAATCCTGACTGTATGAAACTTTCAAACTGTGATGAAATTACATAAGTACTAACTATGTAATTGCACAATGTGTGTGAAAGTGATGAAAATGTCACAGCACAATAGTAAGAGATAAGAATTGTAGAGAACGGAAAAAACTCACGTGCATTAAAAATCAGCATCAATTTAAAATCATTTGACAAGTACTGAGCGGAGAGCTGTTAGAATATTCATATTTAAGATATTCTACATCCTTGGCGAATGACGATATGATGAGGTAGCTTCTTCACCGTCAGCCACAGTATATCGGAATACCGATATAAAAAGATAGAGTAAGAGTGTAAGACAAATCAAAGGTGTATTTGACACTATATAAAACTAGTTTAGATGAAGTTTGTCTATTTCATTCATTTCGACAATTCATTCATTTGAATACTTCTTCGTTTCTGCAATTGTAAGGAAGGAGCATGAATTTATTCGATACCTTAGTAAGAAAATTCAACAGAGGTTAAAAAAGAAGTTAAAAAAGAATTAGCATTTAAATGCGAGAATTAAAATAAATGAACGAAAAGTTAAAGTGAATAAAATATATGATTTGATCTGGTAAACCTGTATTATAGTGTAACGTATAGCAGTGTATTGTAGTAATTCAGACTTTTTCAGTTTTTTTTTTCATTTGAGCACCTTAAACACCCAGCTCCACAAATTTTACTTTTTACTCATTTTATGATAGTCTATTTTATGTATCTCATACCTCTCATTTATTTTCTTTAATAACTCATATATCTCATATTTTTCATAACTTTTAACATCATAATTATGTGCCGTAATGTTTCAGCTCAACCGAAACAGCATGGCGACGAGTATTAATACATATAGACGAAGAAAACCAATCAATGCATCAAAAAGATTAGCAAGGACTATAAACAGTCATCAAATAGACAAAAAACCCTTGAAAATCCCCTCTAAACGAGGTAAGTTTCAACTGTTAATAGATGCTGAGTGATTTAAACTAGCTATAGTAGGCAGTGATGATACAAAAGAAGCAGAGTACACTGTGGAAAAAATTATCGATCGCAGAATTCGACGAAATGGCAAAATAGAATATTTACTAAAATGGAAAGGATATTCTGACGCTGAAAATACATGGGTAAGAGATGATAAATTTAAAGTAACGATGCTTTCTTTTCAGCTTTTTTAACAGGAGCCAATGGCAAATCTGAACTGTCCACGTTTGATAACCGGTTATGAAAAACGTTTAGTTCAACAATACGATACTCCTGATTCCACGACAGATCATCATCTCCATTTTAGCGATGAAGATGAATCCAGCGACGAAAGCGACGGAAAACAAGAGATCGTCGGAAAAGCATACAACGATAATGAGTTGTTTCTTGCTGTTCGCCAGAATTCTCGAGTTAATTTCATGCCGGCCAATAGGGTTCACAAGAAATATCCTCAGGCAACTATCAAATACTACACCAAATTATTGAATGACAATCATCTATTATGAGGAGCAGTGGTTGATGAAAGTAACGTGCGTGCGTTTTATTTGTCATTTGTCTAACCTGCGTTTCAACAATAAAATTAACAGACAAAGAAAACACACTGGCTTGAACTTACTCAGATCTTCCAAATATGAACGGGTTGCGCTGGTGTTGTACCGCTTGAATGAAAAACTTAACTAATTCTTATGGTTTTCGACGAGAAAAAACATAGTAAGTAAAGTCAAAAGTGTAAGTGAAGCTCTTTTCAGCCCAAAGAAAGAAATGAAATGTTTCTCTGTGTATTGACTACTATCCATTTCACAAAAGAAGGCGAGTGATTGCTAGCTGGATAACTCGAGAACGCCAACAGCTATCGAGGTCGGGTTTTAACCGTTATGTAGTCAACACTCGGGCACGTAGTCTCATGTGAAAATCGAAATTTTCAAGTGGGTCTCTAGAGATTTTCAGGATAGATCTTTGAAAAACCAACTCCGTTCTCAGAAAACTAACATACAACGTTAGCAATTTTTTTGCATGCATAGGCAGTTCGGACGTTACTCTACAAAATTAGGCAAGTCCTAGCTCTCCAGCTATCGTCATTTGGACAGGGCTTGCTTTTCCCAAGCCCGTGTCTATCTCCGAACAGACATCTCTGAGAATCTAGAAATGCCATGGAATATAGGTAATCGACTACGCTGAGCACAATGGCAACATTTGGTTTTGTGTAGAAATGAAAATAACTTCGTCAGAGGGATTTTTGAGAAAAAACGGTTTTTCGTCTGTTACCAGCAAACATTTAAATCCTTATGTCTCGGTCAAATCTCATACCGACTCAAGCAAACTTTCAGGGAATGCTCAGGACAACTCAAAAATCATAATCGAGGACGGAAAAAAGTGAATCTCTGCTGGGCATTGGTTCAAGATCTTCCATAAAATTTCTGAAAACCTCAAAGCCTCAGTGTTCTGCTGGATCACTTTTTCGGCTTGATCAACAGTATATGGCGTCTTTTAAGTCTTCTTCAAAATTTCCTTGATTCAGCATCAAGGAAAATCAAATGTGTTGTTCACATGACTTGACATACAGCCGAGACTGGCCTTCAGTAGTTTGGTTATTAATTAAACGAGCGCTTATGTTGGCCTGTCTTTGCAGCAGAAAAAGAACTGTTAATAATGAATGAAAAAGACATGCCTTTTCGTAGAAAACAGGAGTCCAAAACGATAGTTGTGAATGCGTAAGTAAGGGTCGAAACTTCGGAAATTGTTTTCGGAACATGTAAAAACAGATACATCTGGTAATTAACTTATGAAAATAGATTACTCGAAAAAGCGTTTATCGCGAAATTAAATTTGGTGGTCTTAAATTTGATCGATCATATTACTATCGCTGGAGAAATCTAAAGTAATAATTCGTGTCGCAAGTGTTTGAATGCAAGGGAAGAGAACATTAGAATGAACAGATTTATTTATCGACTGAACACACCAGCAATAGTATCACCGGCTATCTAGGATCAACTAATGAAAGGCTTTATGCATAAACAATAGTGCCGTTGATGTGAACAACGAATTAATTACATAGAAATGATACAAAGTGTATATCACCGATGCAGTTGTGTGACTGTTATAAGGATTTTCCGTCAGAAATGATGGAAGAATGAGCTTCCATGGATGCGAAATTATATTTGTGTGCTATACTTGGTAACATGACATTTTCGATTCTTTTCGACTTATCCTCCACACCGCCAAAAATGTCAAGAACAACTTCAATTTTCTCCCTTTTTTAAAATCATCGCCGTCAACACCCAAAACTCTCTCCAATCAATAGCCGTCTCCATCAGCAGAAGCAGTCAGCCTATCATGTCCGTCGTGAAAATCTCAAAATATTTCGCGCCCACTGGCCTTCGTTCAAGAGATATCGAATTTTCAACCTCCAAAGAAAGCAGATTCGATGTACCTGGGAATTTTTATTTTTCATCGTCAAAAAGAGCCTTAAGTCAATCTGAGGGCTTTTCTCAATAGACTCTGGTATCAACAAGCTCGAGCATAAGTTTCAACCCGTTAATAATAGTCCCTTGTTCAAAAACTCCACAATATTTTTTAAAATAATTAATTTTTTTCTCAGCCAAATAATGTCAGTAAGACGAGAAAACCTCAGGACATATACTTCGCAGCATTCTCTACTAACTGGGAACGGTGGATAAAAATCTAAATGGGAGTCCCCCTTAAGTCATCTGAGGGCTTTATTCGATAGGCTGTGCCGTCAACAAGCTCGAGTATAACTTTCAACCCGATCTATCAGAAATATCAGACGATATTGAATTTCTGGTATACACATGTATTACATGCAGTCTGTTGTGATTCAGTTCGTCTTAGTCAGTTTTGCGTCACTGGATGGTTAGATAGGAGCATAGGTTGTATACCCCGCTACCTTGTTGCAAGCGCTCTAGCGTCGAGGGAAAGGACGTTGGAAAAAAATGTCAAGAGACAAAAATTTTCAGAACACATTTCTCTATCTGTTTTGAAAATTTGGGAAAATTTTGTGAAAGTTCATTGAGCACGCTATGCTGCAAAAGTACGTTTCTATGGTGCACTACCTCTTAGTAACCGTTTGTTGAGTCTTAAGCTTGATTCAGTGTTATTCGTTTTGAAAAAATAGAGAAAAAGTTTAGGGTAAAACATTTTTTGGACATTACAGAGTGTTGAAATCTAACTACAAGTCTAGCTGTAATGCTTTTACAAAAACAACAATATTTCAAATTCCAAAACTACTTTATTGTTCTTCCATTTTTCACTGTCCATGGTAAAATGGATCATGTGGTGGAAAACAATCGGGTGGTGGGGGCCCATGAAAATTGCATGTATTCGCGCCACCCACTTTTTTCCCGTAGTAATATGCATTAAAAGCATCCTTTGCGTAACCATTTCCCATCAACTGAAAACTATGTTGTGTGGCATCGGGTATTTTTTGTCCCATGAAATAAACGTTGAACGCATCTTTTCCATAACCTTGTCCTAAACAGGAAAATGAATGTTGAGTAGCATCAGCCACCTTTTGGCCACGAAAATACACATTAAACGCATCTTTTCCATAGCCATCGGTTAATGCGACAAATGAGTGTTGAGTGGAATCGGGTATTTTTTGTCCCATGAAATAAACGTTGAACGCATCTTTTGCATAACCTTGACCAAGATCAACAAAATTCATGATTGTTATTATGGTTCACTATACACAGAACGCGTTTCTTTTCAAAAAAACGAAAAAAAACTGAAAGATAAATATTTTTGCTCTGTTTTATACTCGTGAATACTGAATAAAAACTCATTTTTTCTTTTCTCTTTCATACAATGTGAAAGAGAAATAGTATTACTAGGTGGAAGTTTTATATAAGGCATTTAGCAAAAATGGAAATATCTCTTCTCGCACACGCACGACGTATATCTCGATAGATATTCTCTTTTTCCCTTTCGCCATGTGCAAAAAGAGGAAAAGTCAGTGCAGCGTTGTTTTGATTCACCATTTTATTCTTTCAACACTTTTTACATACAATGGAGAAATTAATAAAACAAGCGATAAACACCTTATGGTTCTGGTCGAACATAAAGACTTCGTAGTCGAAGTACGAAACCCAAAAGGGATTCATACGAAACGTAAAACGGTTTCAAAATGGTTGCACTTCTCTATACCCTTTTAGGTTTCGTAATAAACCTACTTTTTGATCTAAACATAGTTTATTTGATTCAACAAAGCGGGCGGACCCATTACATCACATGTTGAGAACAGTCGAAAAGAAAAGTTGGTTATCACAAATACATACTAAAACATACGCTCACATACAATAAAAACATACACTCACACAGAATCGTAGATGGAGAGAAAACAGAGAAGAAAAAAATAAAAATAAAAATAGAGACAGTGAAGAGAGTGTATAGAATAGAATTGAACAATAAAAGAAACATAAATTATATCTTACATAGGATAATACAAATATGAAATGGATACAAGTTGAAAACATGAAGGTATGTACATAGTTTGATACATTGAGAACACTAAGTTCTTGTGCAAAAAGGGGTTACGTCTGTAGGAGTCTCGTATTCAGTTTGGTGGTGTAGAAGGTACGATATATAACGGGCGAAAACGATTTGTAGTTTTAATATAATATATAACGAAGTTAAAAATTATTTTTATTTTGTCTTTATCTAATTTCAACACAGATTTATCACGCAGTAAAAAGTGATTGAAATTTATACTTTTGGTATCAAAAACTTCTTGAAAAACATTTATCAATAGCGCACGTTGTGTATTGTATAGAGGACATATTGCGGAAAAGTGTTCTACTGTTTCACTATTAGATCTACATGCACAACTCGCATCTGTTACTAAATTCCGCTACAACAAGTCCTGATTCAGTTGACTAAAACCTACTCTACATCGCAAAAAGTCGCTTTCTGTCATTCTATCAATAACAGAAGGCAATTCTAATTTAGTGAAGTAGGGCTGTTTCGTTTTACATTTGAAAGTGGCATAATTTTTTGATTCTTTTATTACATTTGATAAGCCATTCCACAGTTTAGAAGACGATGGAATAAAAGTCTGTTGTAGATATTCACTTCCTCTTCTTAATGTTGTTACTTGTTGTGCATTATGGCTTCTCAGAGTCATAATAGTAGTTTGCGTTGGAGGTGGAATAAGAGAATGTAAATCAGTTACACCTTTTAAAATTTTATAAAATAAACATAGTAACATAGTAATAAACATGGCGAAAAAATCATATTTAATAGGTATAGGTGGAAATACGTCTTCTTTTTCTTGTTTGATAAAAAATGGTACCCATCCTATTTCAGCACATACTTTTTCATGTGAGCTACCTCTCATAGCTCCAGAAACGGCCACACCTGCACTATATTGAAGAGAATTTAATTTGCGAAGGTTTGTATCTATTGTTCCACAGTAGAGTATACTAGCATAATTAATACAACTTAAAACAAATGCATTATAGACTAAACTTAGCGCTTGACATGATAATTCGCGACTTAAAAATTTAATAGAACCAACTGTTCTTCCAGTTGAAGTTAGTATATTGTCTAGTAAGGGAACGTTTCAAAATGTATTCCGGTCGGTCGGTCGCTATTCCTCTATTCCCCGATTATTCCTCTCTTATACCTCTGTCATTCCTCTATTCCACTCTTCCTCTATTCCCCAATTATTTCTCTATTATAGAATTTAAATTCTAATTTATTTTATTTTATTTTGTATAGTTCGGTTTCTTTGATTGTATTGTTGATACATATATCGGCATATATATACTTCC